GGGGAGGCCAGCACTGTGGTCCTGCAGGGGAGCACCACGGAGGCCTCCTGTGCCAGGGTGGGCCAGCAGAGATGGAGAGCAGGGGTAGACCTGTGGGAGGTTGTGGAGGGCAGATTCCTGGGCCTGTGCCTCTCAGTTAGTGCTCTTGATGTAGCAGCAGCGTCGGAAATGGCCAGCGGCTGTGAAGGAACCGTGAGCATCACCTGTGCCCGAGGTTCTGCTCGTTCCTGTCCTCCACCAGGCAGAGCCAGAGAGCTGCAGAGACGACACCACTGGCCTGGAGACAGTGGCAAGCTTTCTGGCCCATGGTAGCTCTGAGAGCCTTAACCAGGATGTGGAGATAGAACTGGCCCAGTGTGATGGCCACCTCCCCTCCCTCACTGCCCACCCCTCTGGGGCCCTCTTCCCCCGCTCCTCTGCCTCCCCCTGTGCCCACAGATTCAGCAGCCAGACTGCACAGGGGTGGACACTGTGCCTCCTCTGGGCTTGGGCCTGGGTGCAGGAGGCCGTGCCAGTGGCCCTGTAGCAGACAGCCCTGTGAGTACCCAGGGTCATGTAGAAACCTTGGGAAACAGAGAAAAGTAGAAGGAAGAAGAAAGTGTTGCTTGTGACTGCACTCCTGACCCCTGACAGCCTAATGGGTAGCCTTCTAGTCTTTCTTTTTGTATCCCAGAGCCGGAGCAGAACTCTTCCAAAAATTTCGATTCCTGTGTTTTTTCAATTAATGTTATAACATAAGTCTGTCTTTGTGTAGCTTTAAAATCTTCTTGGGTGTCGCTGTTCATCTCCCAGAACATTTTGCCGCAGCAAATGTACGCTGGTCCCGTCCTGACTGCCCTCCCTGTGGTCTCAGCGCCCTTCTAACTTCACAGGCCGCGTACCTCGTCCGCAGTGAGCACACAGACCTTAGCATCGGGTAGCCGCACTGAGTCCATCTCTGCCCCTCCAGAGCTGTGTGGCCTTGGGCCAGTTTCTCACGCCTTTGGGCCTCTGTTTTTTCCACGTTGTGTTGTGAGCATTGAGTGCCCCCGTGTGTGGCACTGGCTGTGCACAGATCTCAGGTTGCTTGTGAGGACTGAGCTCCCGGGAGTGAGCCGCGGGGTCCATGCCGCAGCCGGTGCTCACCCAGCAGGGCCTCATCCAGTCCCAACTTATTCCGCAGTGTTCTTTGAGCATCTGCTCTGAGCCAGGGATTGTTCTAGGTGTTGGGCTGACAGCTGTGACTAGAAAGACAAAAATCTCTGCTGTGGTAGAGCTGATATTTTAGCAGGGGTGGACAACAAATGTCAAAATGAGGACATCACAGTGATGTCAGAAGGTGACAATGGCTAGGGGATTACATAGAGCCAGGTGGGAGGGGTCAGGGCAGCAGAGAGTGAAGCGGGTGGGAAGGCCTTGCCAGGAGGTGACCTTTGCACAGTGATTCGAAGGAAGTGAACCTGGAAGCCATTGGAACTCCTGGGGGCGGATCTCCCAGCAGAGGAATCAGCACATGCAAAGGCCCTGAGGTGGGAGTGTGCCCGGTGTGTTGGAGTGAGACAGACAGTTCAGAGATGCAGTACGGGCCAGGTCATGTAGGCAGAGGGTGGCAGCAGAAGTTAGAGGCCAGGAGCTCCAAACATGCTGCCCATCGCTCTAGGTGTTACCAAGGGCCATCCCAGGAGGGGGCCGCACACTGCTGCCCAACCCACGGGGCCTCCCAGGGATGCTTCAGAGCAAGGTCCCTAAGAGAGTGTGGCAGCTCCATGAGAGCGGGACTCGCCCGTTTGCCTGTGTGCCCAGGGCCTACAGGAAGTGCTCAGGATCCACTGGTGGACGCTGGGCAGAGGGAGAGTTGGTGGCCGCTCCCCTCACCCCTCTGACCCCCGAGTTGATACACAGCTCCCACAGGTCCCTGAAACTCTGCCTGGTTTGGGCTCCCACAGAGCCCGGCACACGGGTCCCTTGTGGATGTGGTAGCCGCGGTCACCCTGGAGCCTGGCCCTGCATCCCCACCAGCTCGCAGCCACACGTCTTCATCCATCCGTAAGCATCTCGCTCATTCCCACCATGACTGGGCACTCAAACTTGCTTTGCCTGCGGACCCTGCCTGGGGTCTCTGTGTGGCCGGCCCCTGTCATCTGGCCCCATTCCAGTACGTTTCCTTGGAGGACCCTGCCCCTGGCCCTCCCCTCCTGGTGACACAGCCGTTTTGTTCCCTCGATTGCCCTGGTGGCTATCTGGATTATCTTGCTGGCTTGTTGACTGACTGCGCCCTTCTCTAGACTAGTAAACTCCATGGGGCTAGGCCCTGGTCTGCACGTTCCCTGTTGTTGCTCCCAGTCCTGGAGAGTACGTGAATGGTTTTGAGTGAAAGCCCCAGGGGCAGGTTAGGAGAAGCTCAGCGTGGCCCAGGCCCAGTGCCGCCACATCTGGTTGGTGTGGGCCACAGCCCCGACACCCGACGCCCTGCCCTGTCCTTCACTTCCCTCCATTTGCCACTTGGCTAAGGAAAAAAAAGGGGCCACTGAGAAACAAAGCAGCTCTCAGTTCCAAAAGCTCAGCAGCCCAGTGGACAGGCCTCTGTTGGTCAGGCTTGCTGGGGTTGTGTTGGGGCCACCCTGTGATGGAGCAGAGATGAACGAGCCTGACCGTCTCGGAAGAGCAGTGAAATGGCTCTGTCCTCGCCAGTGCCAGATAGACTTTCCGGTTCTGCCTGCTTTGAGCAGTGCGAGGTATGCAGTGTGTGTAATGAGAGCCATCACGGGCGAGATGGACCACCGATTGGGCCACGCCTGTCTCCCTAGCCCCCTGCAGACGCCGGTGAGCCCCACGCCTCTTCAGCCATCAGACCTCCTGGCACCAGAGGCAGACAGGCCGCCCATGCCATTTGTCAGGGTCTGGTGCCAGCCACCTTCTCTGTTTGCAGAAGGAAGGCCGGGGCTCCGATTCCAGGAGTCAGATACCTGCAGGCCTGGCACTTGCTCTCAGGGGCTGGCCTGGGGCCATTCCCACGCCCCATCCCAGAGGCATGAAGACCGGCTGGGTGTGGAGCGTGCCATTAGACACCATGCTGCCTGGTGGGAGGGCGGCTTCTCTAGGTACGGATACCCTTGCCTACAGCATCCTGGAGCCATATTAACATGAGCTGCGTGTCCTGGCCTTCCCAGGGGATGCAGGCTTTCAGATGGCCGGCAGTCTCACCTCCACCTGTGGAGAGGGAGACCAAGTGCTTCATGCTGGGGGCAGGGCCGTCCCTGACTGAATGTACATTTGTCCCTTGAACCAGCCTCCTGGTCAGCTTTTTAAATGTCCAGGAGCTGTAGAGCCAGTATGAGATGCTCTCACAGCCTGTATTCCCCTGCAGAACCATTTTCAGGAGTCTGCTTAAGGTGTACCTCCTGCCCACCCCCACACCCTTGAGTGATGGGCTGGCAGGCAGTAGCCTCTGTGGGCCCAGAGTTCAAATCCTGGCTCTTCCCAACTCACTGTGGGGCCTTGAGCAAGTCCTTGCCCGCCTTGGGGCTCCATTTTCTCATCTGTAAAGTGAAGGCGTTGCCGCCATCTTCTGCAAATCCTCATTGAGTACCTGGTCCAAGCCAGAAAGAACCTGCCCACCCCAGCTCCCCGCCTGGTTGAGGCCTGACCGGCCGAGGTCCTCCCAGCGCTGCAGTTTGATGCCTGAGCTTCACGGCCGGCTTCTCTTCTTGGGAGAAAGCTAGCACCCAGGCAAGACTGGGGCAGGGGAGGAAAGCCTCCAGGTGCCGGCAGACGCAGAGCAGGATGCACCAGAGCGTGCAGGGAGGGGAGACCTCTGCATTGTGCCTACCCCCAACTTCCCGCCAGCTCTGGACATCCGGCCTCTAGGTCCACTAGCCAGTGCAGCCCTTCTGTGCAAATTAGGAGTGCCCTCTCTGGGGGACACAGAGGCCTACCAGGATCCCTTGTACCATGCTGCCACCAAGGAGATTCCTCATAAAGACAAGCCCCAGAGAAAGGGGTATTGCAACCTGGTGTTTAAGGAGGGGAAGGGTCTTCCAGGCAGAGAGAACAGCATACACAGAGGCTTGTGAGTGTGACGGGGAGACCAGGCATGGTCACTGTTCCTTGAAGCTGCAGGGAAAGCACAAAAGCAGTGGGTGGTGGGGCTGGAAGAATCGGGTGGGCATTAGGTGTCAGCAGGAAACAGATTTCTGCTTAGTCGTTGGGCTGGAGAGAATAATGGGGGGTCTGTTCCGAGGCGTGGGTGTTTAAAGGAGCTGGTAAGATGTGGTGGGAAGCCCTGGGGGCCATTCCTACTCCCACCGTGGGGTGGGGGGACAGTGTCTGCCAGAGCCCAAGGAGAAGGACCCCCAAAAGGAGCCCTGCAAAAGGGAGCAGGGATCAATACCTGGCTGCCGTCTCCTCCCACCCTCTAATCTGCTGGAGCTCTACAGGAGCTCAGCCAAAAGCCAGAGGGCGCAGGAGCCCATAATGCCGCCCGTAGAGGTCAGCCTCCCGGGCACACAGAAGGGCGGAAGGTGGACCTGCAGGAACGATCTGAGAACACCTAGCCCAGGGGGCCTCAGATGCCAGGTTTCGGGTGTGGGTCTTAGCGTGAGTGCACTGGGAAACAGTGGGACCATTTAGAGCAGGGGAGGGATGTGGCCACTGGGTGTGGGGCTGACCCCACAGGGTCCTGAGTGCAGGGTAGATGGGTGGGCACGGAACTGGGAGACCGAGGTGGGGAGCACCAAGCTGGACAGGCGGTGGCTGGACTAGCACTGTGGTGGAAGGGCTGGAACGCTGGGATTCTGGCGGCAGAGTGGACTGCAGGCCTCGAGGGTCCGTTGGCCGGGGAACGAGGCAGGAGAGGGTGAGCCCAGGCTGGCATCCGGGTCCTGGCTCCACCTAGGAGGGTGTGAGCCTGTTGCTGAGTGAGGGAAGGGGACTTGGAGCTGGGCCAGAATGGGTGCCCCTGCAGGGTGGTGAGTGGGTGGCTGGGGAGCGGCAAGTGACAGGCTCTCCTCTGTGTCTTGCAGGTGGTCTTGGCCCCGAGTCCAAGAAGATCCTGACGCCCGCCCTCAAGAAGCGGGGCCGGGCTGGCAGAGGAGAGGTGGCCAAGCAGGAGGAGGGCATGGAGCGGCCCGAGCCCGCACAGCACGTGGCGCTCAGCCTGTCTTTCAAGCGCTATGTCTTCGACACCCACAAGCGCATGGTCCAGTCTCCCTGAGTGCCCCGGTGACCTCTCCCAGGGCCACCTTGCCCAGGACTGGGCTGGGCTGCAGTGCCAAATGCCCAACCACATGTGCCTCGACCTCCTCCAGTCTCTCCCTGCTGCCCTGCAGGCAGGAGGCCCCCAGCCCTGGCATTCAGCCCCAGTGAGAAGCCAGCGGGTGGTGGGGTACAGTGTTCTTCCACCCCTGCACCTTCCTGCCAGGGGCAGCACCCACCTAGGAATGGGCCTTGTCTGGAGAGCTGGTGGCCAGTGTCTTCCAGGCTGCCCAGCTGGTGGCCATCTGAAGGCCAATCCCCACCCTGCCCCCTGGCAGCTGGGCACTTGCCAGCTGCAAATAAATGTCCTGTGGTGCCACCCACTCTGCTGGTCTTTCTCGGTGGTCTCGCTGGGGGGGTCCCCCCACCCTCCCCAGGCCTCTTCCCAAGGCCAATGTCAGGGGACTCGCCAGGGCTCCTGCCAAGAGCGAGGCCAAGGGAGGGACCCGAACTGAGCCCCGTGAGCTGAGGGTCCACAGGATGTCAGGCCCCTAGGCCAGGCCGGGTGGTCCCTGGGCTCTCCTGGGCCTTGAGGGAGCATGGAGTTTCTCTGGGCAGCTGAGTCCGGGGAGGGCACTGCCAGGAAGGGTGTCCGCGGGGTGTGGGGAAGCGGCAGGGTGCCGTGCAGAGGCAGGCTGGAATTCTTGCTCCTCCATCCCAACAAAAGTCCCCAGGCTTCTGTCCCAAAGCGTGGAGGTGAGGGCAGGTGACAGAGCCCTGCCTAGAGCACGCTGCAGGCCGGGGAGCCTGAGCACGGCCCCTCAAAAGCCCAGGAAGCCCTGCCCTGGCTTCTCTGCCCCCTGCACCCACAGGCCACCCCACTCCACGGCCCGAGCTGTCGACACTCGGAAGAGGGTGAACTGGCAGAACAGACTGATTGAGGGGAAATCAAAGCTTTTAAAGACATTTGTGGGATGAACAGATGTTCCAACGTTCCTTTATTTGGCCTCCAGACAGACACAGGGGCCTCCCTTTTATCCCGGATCCCGGTAATCACTGCATTATGCTTTAATTTGCAAAAATGGCATTAAAAATACTATCAGGGACAGGTTGCGATCAAATGACGTGGGTTGTCAAGCCCTGGAGCCGAGGGCACAGGGAGGGAACAGCGCTGCGGAGCCTGCTGTCCTTTGCTCAGCCCGGTGGCAGACCCCTAAGGACACAGCGGTGCCCGTTGGGCCCCGAGGGTGCGGATGATGGCAGCTGGGCCAGCCGACCCTCGCCAGCCCTCACATGGACCCAGACGTCAGGCCGGGGCAGCAGTCAAGGGCAACAGCTGAGGGCTAGGTGGGCAGGGAGAGTCCAGGCCCGGCCCCTGACAACCCCCTGGGCTGGGAGTGAGCTGGAAAGAGGGTGTGGAGAGACCAGGCGGCGCCATGAGTGTGGCTGCTGCCTCGAGGAGCCAGTGCTGCTGCCCGGGGGTCCCGCCCCCAGCTTCTCGGAGCCCCACTGCCACCACCTGAGGGGACCCCTCCAGTAACCTCTCTGTGGCCTGGCTAGAGGCCTGTCTCTTGCTTAGCCCCCACCCCTGCCCTGCGGCCATCTCATCAGGGAGGTGGTGCCGCCTAGCCGAGGCCGCTTTAGCCCAGGGAGGCAGTGGAGGAAGGCTCCGGCGAGGACTTGAGGGCAGAGGTCCTGCAGCCCCCCAGCATCTGCGGGGGGCCAGGCCCCGGGTTGGCCACCTCCCATAGCTACTCAGCCCCTTGGAGTGGACACAGATGGGCAGAGCTGGGAGCTCCCAGGACTTGCCCCTGAAGTGAGGAAAGCTCCCTCCATCATCCTCCTCCGTGTGGGGAGCTAAGTGGGGAGATGCTGGCTACCCCCCAGCCAGGCCAAGTCCTCCCTGACCAAGGGGTGTCAGGCCAACCCCTCCCTCCGGGCCCCTGCTAGGGGTCTCTGCAAGTTGGGGTGGAAAGTAGCCCTGGGTTCAGCCACAGGTCCTTACTCTGTGTGGGTTGTCACATCACTGTTCGTGTCTCCAAATGAGGGGTCACATGACCCAGGAGAGCGTTGTGAGGGCACAGAGGGGTGCGCAGTGGGTAGGAACTAGTTCTGGGGACAGATCCATGGGGGCGGGGGATGAGCGGACACAGGGTGGACTCCAGCCGCTGCCTGGATTCCGACCCTGGCCCCTCTGCTTCCTAGCCGTGTGACCTTGGGCAAGTCCCCTAACCTCTGTGCCTGGGTGTCCCCGCGTATAAAATGAGAATCCAAGCAGCCACTTCTGAGGCGGGTTGTCACCTGGCGCATGGGTGGCAGTCGCACCCACAGCCCTGGGAGTGTGCCTGCAGACGGCGTCTCCCCACTGAGAGGTGAGGGCCTGTGGACCCCTGGGAAGTGGTACAGACCGAGACCTAGACCCCGCCCTGCCCCAAGTTGGACCTTCTTCCAGGCTCTCTGTGAGGGTCCCCACACCCACCCACACCTGTCTCCCCGCCTCACATCTCACTTGAAGACAGCACTCCGCAAAGCCCAGGGAAGGAGGCAGGCCCCGGTGGAGGAAACTGAGGCACAGAGAGGAGCTGGGAGCAGCCCAGCGCATGACTTCCAGAAACCTCAGGGCCACCCAGAGAGTGCGGTGAGGCGGCCTGCTGGGTGTGATCGACTGCCCCAGGAGGGCCGCTGTCAGGCTGGGAGTCAGTCCAAACTGGAGCACCATTAGGGGTCAGGCCAGGCACAGCCCTGAAGGGGAAGCACAGCCGGGGCAGGCAGGCAGGGGCTGGCATGGGCCCAGCATTCTGACGGACATGTCCCCCCTCCCCTGGCTCCCCAGCCAGCCCCCGCCCTCCATGTTTTATAGAGGAGAGGGCTACGGTGTGCCAAGCCACCATCACACCCGTAAACTCACTGAATCTGCTTTTCCGCCCGTAGGGGGCCTGGGAAGCGTCACTCCAGTTTTACAGGTGGGGGCGGGGCCCGGGGCTCAGCTGGCCCCAGCCATCACCTCAGGCAGAGCTGGGATGTGAACCCAGTCTGGGTGACTCTAGAGTCCCCCCTTGCCCCAGTGCCTGGGGTGTGTCCTTGGAAAGAGGTGCCCTCTGAGGCCCTGCTTTTGGCCGAGGGGTGGGGCAGGGTGAGGTGGAGGCACGAGGCAGAAGTGCCCTGCCTGGCTCTCCTGCCCGCCTGCCCACCCAGGGTGAAGTCATGGGCAGGTGTGATTGGCAGGCCCCCGACCAGCGGGGCTAATGCACCAGCAACGAGATAAGGCTTATCTGGAAATGTCCCTGGAATTGAGACTCTGATGGAAGCAGGCTTCTGGGTTAATATATTTTTGATAGATAAAGTCTCATAAGCGGGAAGCCCTGGGGGCACAGGCAGGAGAAGGGGCAGCTTCTGCTCTCCCAGGCTTCCTGCCCGGGCCGTGTGTGTCCCTGTGAGTGTGTGTGTTCATGTCCCAGGTACCTGTGTCTGTCGATGTCTGCTGTGTGCGTGGATCTTGGTGTCTTGAGGGTGTGTATGTGTCTCTGTGTGTGCTCAGGGAGGGCATGTCTGTCAGGCTGCATGTCTCTGGTGTGCCTGTGTGGGAGCAGGGTGAAGAAGGGGGTGTCAGGTCCAGTGTGCACAGGGTGGTGACACGCATGTGTCCAGGGTCAGTTTGTCCCTTGGGCCACAGAGGCTCACAGGTTGGTGGGGCCTCTTCCTCAGGACGTGGTGGGATGGGAGGGGGGGCTTGTCACCCCCATTCCACAGACCCAGAGGCCCCCTCCAGGTGGCCTAGGACCCTGGGGTTGATGCTGGCCTCAGACCTCCCCTGCCTCCTCTGCCTGGGCAGCCACCACACGGGGTTTAGTGTTTCCAGCTTCCCTTCCACAGGCCAAGGCCAGCCCTGCTCACTGCCTCCTGGCTTCTAGTTCAGCCTGGGTAAGGTCTTGAAGAGAGCATAGGAGTTTGGCAGGGGGAAGAGGGGTGATGTTTGGGCAGAGGGAACAGGAGTGAGGGCTCCAGCAAAGGCACGTGGGGAGGCCTGTGAGGAGGGATGAGGTCATGGCTCCCTATCTCCCTCCAGCCCTGCTGGGCCTCCAGGAGCCTCCACACAGGCAGCCCTGATGAAAAAGAGTAATTAGCGCTTGGCTGATAACGGAGTCGAGCCATTAATTAGCCCAACTCAGCCAGCACTAGGGCTTGATTGCGAGGAGGTGAGGGAGGCAGTCAGGGGATGCTGGGGGAGCGCTGTGTGCTCCCTGGGGGGGCAGCCAACCCCAACTCTGGGCTTGTAGGGGACTGCTGTGGGAGCCCCATCCTTCTGCTGGGCCGCCCGTGAGGCAGGGGAGGTAGTGGGAGCAGCTGGTAACAGGAGGCAGGCTCCGCTGGCCGGAGGCCTGGAAGGCTGCCCACGGAGTCCTGAAGGGTGTAGGCAGGGCCAGTGTGTCAGGTCAGGGTTTCAAGAAAGCCCTCTGACCCCCAACTTCCCACCAGCTCCGGACGCCCCTACGCTGACTCTCCAGGGCCTGGAGGTCAGGGAGCCCAGAGGGGATGAGACCTTGTGGGTGGAGCAGGACTCCCAGGACGGCTGGTGATTGGATGAGGGAGCCAAGGGGAGGGGGCCGTGCAGGCTGAGGCCCTGATAGAGGAAGAGGAAGTTCGGAAGGTGTGGGGACTCTGCTTAGGGGTTGGGACCTGGGAGCAGGGGTAGGTTGCGAGGAGGCCAGAGTTGGTCATACCTCATTTACTGAGCGCCTCCTGTGTGCCAGGCTGGCTGGATGCTGTGGGGCAGCGACGGCCTGGACACATCCCTGCCCTCCGCCTCCCCGCCCCATACGGTATGGCCTGCGACTCTCGGGCCTCAGCAGCCTCCTCTTTGCCTGTCAGGCTGGACGGGCTGCCCTGCACCCCCACCCCAACCCAGGCTGACAGGTCAGAGGTCACGTGCCCAGGAGCCTCCATGTGCCCCAACACAAGGTGTTGCTCAATCCTCCACGTCCCCCCATGTTATCACCAGGTCTGGTGGGGAGACAGCGCAGCAGAGAGAAACGGCCACTTCCCGTGGCCACGGCTGGGGCTCCAGATAAAGGCCCAGTGGGGCCCATACCGACCTGGGGAGTCTGGGGTAAGGGGCCAGGTTCAGCCACCTGCCTCACCCCTCAAGGGACACCCCACAGACTCAGCCCTGAGCCTCTACTTCCCACACGGTCACCACCAGGCTGCTAACTGCCACCCCATTCCGCTCGGACCATAGCCTCTGCTCCGCTGCCCTGCACACCCCCACCGCCTCCCCAGGACGGGTCTCGTCAGCTCACCTGAGCCCCCAGGCCCTCCCGAGTCAAGGTGGTTGCCTGTGGCCGGGCACTGCTGTCGCAGCAGTGCTCACTGGGCCAACCAGGGG